GTAAGTACCGGTTCCTGACGTTCCGGTTTTAACCGGACTTGAACCGAAACTTTTTACAAGTCCAGTACCGGTTCGGCGTACCGGTACGCAGCACTAGTTCTACCTGTTAAGTTCTGGTTGGTTTGGTGATTTTCGAGATGAACTTGTCTGGCAATACGGGAGCTTCAATATCCTATAGTGAGACATCGAACGGAGTGTTATGAATGAGAACTATAGGTTACTTACGTAACCCCAGTTCTCAGAGTAACATGTAGTGAGATGTCTCACCAGACGGCCCTCCTTGCTAAGGTGAAGCGAGAAGAGGTGCTTATTTTGAATGAGGCTGCGACGTGGCGCAAGCTACTTATAGGGTGGGTGGATTCCCTGATGCTGACGTCAAGATCACCAGCCAATCAGGATTGGCGTAATGAGATTGATGCTTCTGTTTGCTCCGCGATGAGGCGCATCCGATAGTGAGACATCTCACTACATGTTACTCTGAGAACTGGGGTTACGTAAGTAACCTATAGTTTCTAATGTTAGTCTACTTGTTAGGCAACCTGTGTAAACATGCCTCAGATACACAGCCAGGCTACTATTCACTTGTGTCCTATTAGATTGGCAGTGGTGGATGCTTCTGTATTTTTATTATTTACTAAAGTGAAAGATAATTTAACGAGAAGACATACAAATGAAAACAGAAACAGAAAAACAATTTTGCTGAAGTAAATCTGTCTCCGCAGCTGCTCTGGTTTGTAAACATGATTGTTTATAGGTTCATCTCCACTCCAAAAAAATCCACTTGGCAGAAAAAATAGTGGATGAAACTGAATTTTTAGAATCCACTAGGCGCAGTGGCAGACAGGCAGAGTTGTTTCCAGCTGTCATTTTATAGATATGATTAACTGCTTGTAAATAGAAGGGCTACAGCAGGGAGCAGTAGATGATGGCACCCAAAGAGGTCACATCTGTCAGCTGATAGTGCTGCATCATCCATCTGCATGCATACCGTGTTCCCATGGCAGTGGCATGATACCGGAGGAATATGTTTTCAGTTTGATTTGTTTGTCAACAGGTTTACTGAAAAACTACCGGTCCAGTTTTCAGGGGTCAAGGAAGAAACTAGGGTTGCCAGAAACTGACCATGATCAAATTCGAAAATCGGACAGCCCTGGCGAATATTAATCGATTATTCGCCGCCGCAAACTGGTGGTGTGACCAATGGCCATTTACAATTATTAATACTATTACTATTATTAGCATTAGTCTATATTTTGGTTGAAACTAAGCCAGGAAAAAAAATGAAAAACATAAATAATACAAAAATATATAAATAAAATCGAATTAAAAAAAATAATTTTAGATTATGGAGACTGTAACGAATAATCGAATAATTGCTGGCATCCCTAGAAGAAACCATTACATATTTGAGCAGATCCAATAAAGGATACAACAATTAGTATTCACTTTCGTTAACAATGCTAAATTGGGAATAGCCTTGTCGAAGGTCTATGCTCTCCTTTTTATTATCTTATGGATGTTAGCTAAAATGACTAGCTAATGTTTTCTGACCATATGTTTTACATTGTTTTTTTGTCACTTTGAAGGTAGGACCATCAGCAGAGCAGGCTGCAGCGATGGAGAAGTTCTCTACACATCCGGACCCAACAATAAGGCAACTTTTTTTGGCCGACAGAGCGATGAACCCATCAATAGGACTGCAAAAAGGAATGAAATACGCCAGTTGGTCTCCGTTAGGTTGTGACTCTAACGGGCGCTGTCTGCTCGCTTGCCTAACGCTAGACCACAGACTGACCATTCACAACAGCTACAAGCGTCTTGAGTGGAAAATGCTAGAAGATCTTACCAAAAAGTATAGCGAGAGGCTAAAGCAGCGAGGCTACTCCAAAAAAGACAACATTCCTCCACAGACGTCCCTGCTGCACTTTGACGAGCTGCAGCGGCGCTTCAGAATGCAAACCCCTCTGAGGATGGAGTGGTCGAGCGTTTACACGACCAAACAGGTTCAGCCGGACAACACCTGTGAAAACATAGAGATGGTCCTCCTCGCCGTCCTAATGGAAAACGGCGACGTAGTTTTGTGGAAGTTTGTGTTGCCTTTTTTAGAAACTTCAGATGTTGAGTTTTATGATGTTGTCGAGTCAGGTGTGAATCGTCCCAGCGACTTGGCGTGGTGGGAGTATGACGGCACGGATCGGCGTATGAGTGGCCTGATCGTGGGCAGCGAGGTGGGACCCGTCAAGATTGTTCCGGTCAGCCTGGCTGGAGTGAAGGGCTACTTCACCCTCCGACACCCTGTCATCCTCTGGAAGGAGTGCGATGAGATCGCCGTGGAAAACCTCAAATGTGTTCCGATGATCCACCCGATCCAGAAGACCAGCTGCAGTCTCATCGTAGCCTCGCGCGGCTGCTACGTCTTTTGGTGTTTGCTCATGATTTCGCCAGCCGGACTGAATGTGCACAACTCTCACGTTGCAGGGCTGCACTCGCTCCCCGTGGTCTCGCTAGCGATCAGTCAGCACGGAGTCTCGGTGTACACATGTTCTGTAGACGGGTGGATTAAAAAGCTGACACCGACATTTGCAGGGAACACTTTGATATTCAATCAAGAGGACATGTTGCGACCTGAGAACCTCTCAGGGAGGAAGATACATGGGATTGCGGTGAGCCACAACGGAGCCTACATTGCGCTCACCAGCTCACAAGGTATGGTCGGCGGCTTTCACCCAGTTAGCAAGACTTACCAGGTGAACTTTGTGACCCTGAAAGCGCCAGAAACAGCAGCAGCATTGCTGCTCAAGTCCCCCGCACATAACTTGCACAAAACAGCTGACCTGCTTGATCTCGTGAGGTGGCAAATTTTGAAAAACAAGTGCATTCCGACATCGCTGCTGGAAGAAATCGATCAAAAGATCCAGGAAGTAGACTCGCCTTACTTTTGGCGTTTAAAGCTCTTCCTGGTGAGGACACTTTACCAGTCGCTACTGGAGCCTCCCACAGATCACCGCTGGAAACCAACGCTCGAGGAGAACAAAGTCTTCATAAGGGAAGGGGAAGAGGGAGAAGGAACGGACGGAGAAGACGCTGCTAAAGAGAAAAGTGAGCCTGTTGGTAAAGTAGTAAAACAGGAGAAGGATAATCTGAAGGAGCAGATTGAGGAGGTGCAGGCTTGGATCAGTTCTGTAGAGAGCCACATTATGAGGGAAAACATGAAGAAGGTGCTGGGCGTGGTTTACCTCAACACCTGGATTACTCAGAACACCAGCATCCCCACCTGTGGCCTGGTGGAGTTCCTCTCCAGAGACTCCAACGACAGAGCTTCAGAGGTAACACTCAGGGACTCACATTATCATTATTCAACCCCTTAGTGTCCTTTACCAGTATCTCACAATTGCATCAGTGGCTGCAATTCAGAAAACTTACATAGACTCCCAATAATGGTTTAATTGCTTATTTGTCTGTTTTATTACAAGGTAATGAACTACAGTCATATCTTAAATTGGTATGAAAACACTAAACACTTTTTAGTCTATTTAGGAAGCTATCCATTTTAAAACGATTAAAGCAATTCAAGTTTTTTAATCGTATTAGATTATGTAAAGTATAATTAATCAGGTGAAAATACCAACAATCTTTGGAAAGCATCTTCTGCTGCTGATAAGCTCTGATTTTTAGAAAGGTGTATTATGGCTCGTGTAGGTTAAAGGTGGGGTAGGTAAGTTTGAGAAACCGGCTCGAGATACACTTTTTGTTATATTCCATGGAATGCTCTTAACATCCCGATAGCAATGAATATCTGAAGTGCTTTGACAAAAAATCCATACAAACATGTCATCTGTGGAAGCCGTGGCGCTGTAAAAAGCACGACCAATCATCTGAGCCGGCCCGGCTAAAATAACTGGATGGCCTGTCAGCCTTCCATCTGTGCACACACTTATCTCGTGCCCTCATTGGTCATGTGCGCGTTCGTGTGTGTTGGAGGAGGGGCTCTGTAAGGAAGTGGCAGATTTTTTCCGGCTGTGTATTTTCAAATTCTAGCGCACTCGAGCTGGTCTCTCCAAAATGACCTACTCCACCTTTAAAGAAAAAACAACAGAGATTTTAAAGAGGTTTATTATTCTGAGAAAACTTGGATATTTCCAAGCCTTGAGTCATTAATTTACAACTTGGAAAACAACTTGGATATTTTATGAGATTCAAGTTTTAAATGTATTCAAGAAATTCTAGACTTAACATCTACATTTCTTTCTTTTTGCTAGATCTGATTTCCCATTATCATTAGTTCCTTCCCTACAGGCATTATACAGAGCAAGCAGTGGTTTGATGAGATTGAACGAACCGCACAAAGCGATGTGGTTCCGCTCCTAAAATAATTTTTTTATCTTCATTTTGTACATTTTGGATTATAATTCTAGATATTTTTATTATCTAGCAAATTAATTTATTATTGCAGAGAATATGGAGGTTTTTGAATTTGCGAGTTTAAATCTGAGAAATTATTTGACTAGTATCCCCCTTCATATATTTGTTTTCGGCCCTTACGAGATTAGCGCTATACTCCCATTCATACTCTTACCATTACACACACAAGTTGGATGCCTTCACTTACACCCTCTGACTCTGTGTGTGCTGTATCATCTTCCTCAGGTCCTGATTGGCCACATCAAGAACAAGATGAACAAGCAGTCGTTCTCTGAGCGCTGCAGCCTGTGTCAGGAGGTGCTGCCCTTCTCGGACCACAAACAAGCCATCTGTAAAAACGGTCACATGTGGCTCAGGTATGGAGATCAAATCCTTAAAATCACATCGACTAACAAGATGTTTTTTTACATTAGCTTTCGCCTCACTACGTGCCTGACAGGATATGAATTGAAGCTTAATGCCAAGTGCCTTCTTTGACGGTTTATTTACCTTTGCAGAACAGTAATCAAGCCTCCTACCTTTTGATATTTACCCATACACCACTCTCGTCGTCTCATAAATATCATCTGTCAAACATCGCTTCTGCCTTCTCGCTAGCTAGAGCGCGGTGGGCACTGAGAGGGAAATCTGTGCCGTCAGGTGTACCTCAGCGTTGTTCCTGCTCTAGTTTTTTGTCTGTGTGCATGTCTCGGTCCCTGGCAGCCAGCTCTAATGCCTCCCTCTCACTCTCCTCCAGGTGTGTGTTGTCATACCAGGCCTGCCAGAAGCTGACGTTCAGACGCTGCCTCCTGCTGGATACCATCTCCAGACTGCCAGAGCCCGAGGGTAAGCAACACTCTCCGTCTCTCCGCACCTCCAGTTTCAGACTCTCCGTCAGCCGTTTCCTCCTGCCAACCTTCAACGTGGGCCTTCGTACCGCTCCTCGCTTGACAATATGGATTTCGAGGCAGTCGTAAAATTCCTACCGATGAATGGAAATGTGTAAAAATTAGCTGTTTGTTAAAAAACATTTCTGATGCCACATTGCATCCTAAAAATTGCGAGTTAACACACTGGTCAGAAAGCTCAGGTCTTATCTCATCATCTTGCTTCCCTTTCCAATGTTTGACAAATGTATTCTCGTCCCAATTTAGTTTAAGTTTCTTCCAACTCTAAGTAAAATGCAAACTAACCCTTTTATTTGACAACAGCGAAACATGTTCTCGAAACAAGCACGTAGCCCTAATTGAGTTTCGCTACTTGGGCAGATGCACAAGCCAAAAAGTCTCATGCATTTCTCAAGAATCTCTCATTATTCCAACTTTTCAGAACCAGAAAAAGAGGATTTCTCAGACACGTATATGCGCAACAGAGTTTCTAATTGGCATTTTTTTTACATGCAAGCGTGTGGATGACAAAGACTCCAGACATGGAAAGTATCTGGCAGGATAACAGGAAAGATCAATACACTACACAAAGCGATACATCCTTGTGTTGTAGATAATTCCATCCAAAGCCTGCACTATAGGTTCCAGGTTATTAAAGTGCATAAGGCCATTTAACAGTGTGAACCCAGACTGATTGATTTGATCCGTCAATCATTTCTGTGGTCGTTATGGTCAATACACAGGAGTGTTATTAAACTTGGAGATTAGCATGAGTCGCTCTAACTTAAATGTATTTATCTCAATCAGTCCTCAGCACATAACGATCGGTCGTCATGAGCGCAACATCGGGTGAAAACGGATCCATAACTATGCCAATAAGATACAGGACGTTAAATCAATTATTTATCATAATTGGACTCTGAAAAGCGTATTTATTTACCACGAACCATGTATTACGGTGGTGACAGTTAAGGAAGAAAATCCACTCTTCCTAGTGTTTAAGAATTGGCTTAATCTGGCTGCTAACATTCATCCCAGGTCTTTATCGACCTTCAGCCCCTGTAGGACTCCTCTGGTCGTCCCAGCCTATCACCGCTACAGACTGACGGGTCTGTGCCCCTCTGGCATCTGTCATAGATCTGTCAGATTCAACATCATCCCAGCTCCTGTCTCAAAGCATCTCCTAGATTATAGCCATGTTCTTTATTGGTTTTTTTCATCATGTTCTCAGGTTGTCCAGTCATCGGTCGGTGAATGATATGTCAGGAAGGACATTTCTTTAATTTGGCGCAACTGTCCTTTTGGGTTCTGTGACCTTGCAAAACACGTTTTTGGCCATAACTCAAAGATTTCATACAAATATCTAATGGCATGAAATTATGAAGTCATGGCATTTTGAAACGACATGGATGTGAACTGCAACTTCACTGGTTGGCTTAGGTATCAAACAATAAGGCCGTAATTCTAGCTTAGTCCTAATTTTTATATTATTTACTATTTACTGACTGACCTAATGAGTGAATGTATATGTCATTGTCATGTTCACCTGAAGGTTTTTTTTATTTGAGGTCGGTATTTACACACTGTTATCTAGGATATACATAAACCATGAAACAATGTTTGCCTTTTTGGAAGTGGAGACATTTTTCCTTACAATTTTTGCTAGATGTTGCGATATAATAATGTACTACATCCCACGTAGAAGAATCAGCAGTTATACTTGATATAAAGCCCGAACTTGGTAGTTGTTACATTGTTACGTCATAGCTACAGTCTTTATTTACATATTAATAAACCTTGTTGTCTCCTCACAGATCCAGAGTGGATCAGGAAGGTTCTGCAGGGGCCATGCACGCTCTGCGACTCGCCCATGATCTAGAGCTGACCGATAAGAGGAACCTCAGGGCTTTCCCTGCGACCTTCAGAGTTTCCCGCTCTGACGCAGGGTCCACATCACTGCTACCATTTTATTTTTGTGTTCTGTTCATATTTTTATTACTTTATATTGGGTTCTTAAAAGTGCAAATAAAAGGCTTTGATTATACGTTCTAAGTCTTATTTCCTCATAACCTCCAGAGGAACTGATTCCGCCTGCCATGGCTTTAAATGAATATTTCACTAAGGTAAAACATTTTGGACTCAAACTTTACAGATTAGATTATTTCCTCCGTTCTAAAATAAATTCCCAGTCAGTGTTTGCACGAGGATGCAAAGAAAGAAAGTTTAAAACATGCTTATATGTGGAGGGTTCTATTATTCAGCAGGACTTCAGGGCACCATAAATAAGCTTCCTCATTTTCCTTATGTTGACTTTATTTCCGAGCCTTTGGTGTAGTTTTTATTGCAAGTAAGTGGAACTTCCTCTGCTAGTCCTATTTTAGTTTTTTTTCTCTTTTTTTGAACGCAACAAATAATACACTCTGAATAATACATACTCTGGAAAAAACTCAACATACCTACTTTAATTGGCACTGTAAAACAATTTCCAAGCTCTGGGATGGGAGGAGGAGGAGGGTGGCGCTCAGTCATTCTCTCAGATGAGGACTTCCGCTAATGTAAACGCAGAAGAGAAGCAGCGGCGAGGTGGATGAGATGAGCAAGGCAGGAAGAAAGCGAAAAGTGTGCTTAAAATCCCGGCGCGGTCCCTCCCGTGGGAGCGCGTTGTAATGAGATTCAGCAGTAATGAGGGACAGAACATGGCGCCAGATGTGATTCTAATTCTAATCAAGGAGGGGAGGGTGGCGCTGATGGGGGGGTGGGGTGGGGGTAGAGAGTATATTGTTAAATACAATTAACCCTTTTCTCATATTTGGAGAGGAAAAAGGGCTGAAGGCAGCTCAGCGGCATGTTCTCGGCCCCGGCTCCTTGTTTTGGAGACATGGAGGTCGGCGGCCGGTGATCAAAGGTGGAGCTGAGAGACGGGGGGGCGGCACAGCCTCTCCCGACCCTTACATCAGCAGCCCGGCAGAGGTGGGGTGGGGTCCGCCCTCCCTCTGGTGTCACTGGAGATGATAGCCTGCCCCGGGGCGAGGGGAGAGGAGAGAGCTCGGCTTCCAAACACAGGACTTCATGAAAGGGGAACTCCACATTTTATTCCTTTTAAACCCCACATTTCTTCACCCACTGGTGGCATTTACTGGCCCCAGACTCAGAGTGAAGATTCCTTCCTTTTGGGGAAGAAAGGGACGTCTCTGGCTTTCTAGAAAGTGAATCATTTATCACATTATCCTGTCTGGAATAGTGGAAAGATTAGTTTTAATTAGTACAGCTGCAGGGGCAGGCAGGGGCAAGGGGGTGAAAACAATACCAGTAAAATATACTATTAAGTAGATTTACTTCTTGATTTAAGATAATGATAATTAACTTAAACAACTCTTGACACTTTTGAAGAGTACTTCTTCTAACCGTTAGTTGAGCCTGGTCTTACAGTAAATTCAAGCCTCCATTGCAAAGATATCATCTCATGTGTACCATGTGGACTTAAACATGCCTAATGTTTCTTTTACAATACTTGCAAGAAAAACTTACATAATCATGAATGTTAAAATCTTGACCCAAGCGTCACTTATTAGCGTATTCCAGAGCTTTTGATAACATCTCATTCCTCAGAAAGAAGGAGTCAAGTTATGTATCCTCAGTTATAGCTAAAAGAAAAGCTAATGAAGTGGGGTAAAATATGTATTTAATGTGTAACTATAACACCTAGTTTTCCTCGCACTCAGACACTGATTTCCTGGCTTTAGTCTATCTGGGCACAAACACAAAATGACTTTTTCTTTTTTGTAAAGTTCAAAACCACAAAACCATTCCTCAACATCACTTTCGGTTCATTCTGTACGGATCTGTTTTGTCCGATGTTGCTAATCTGACATGTGACGTTTCCCAACCTTAACCATAACCTTTGCAAAAAAAGTAGATGAACAAATAACCCATTATTTATTTAGTTTAATTTGATGAAGACACAATGTTGTTACGTACAAATCAAGCTTTCTATAGAAGTTACAGATAATGTCGGTATCCAAAGGTGTACTTGGTTTAATTGTGGTGAAATGTGTTATCCATTGGATGTTTAACATAACCCTTTCTTTCAGATTCTTAAACAAAGCAATAGAAGTTCAAAAGAAAGCATGAATCCTCCTGATTGTGCCAAAGCAGCAGAACTGTAAGCTAACCTCTCTTTGGTGAAAACGAGCTGAGTTCAGCACTTCATTAAAACGGCTTAATAACCATTTCTGGACCTCTCCAAATAGCACAACTTAACGGGGAAGCTAAAGAAACTAAGCGCCTTGTAATGAGCTGTGTGTATAGGAGCGGTGTTTGGTGCCTTCATGGCTGCCGGGTTTCTTTTTCCCAGCCTGGGGATTTGGTGCTTCGTTTGTCAAGTGGAAGTGGCTCTTCAGGTTGTAATGTTGCTGTCACTGATAGGTGGAGACCAGCACTGTTACAGAGGTTAGCCGTGTTTGGTTGATCCTCCTCCTGCTTTAATATAATAATCCCTCAAAGTGCAGCTCCACTCGTAATTACCTGCTTCCCCTCCCTTTCTCTCCCACTGTCTTTGCTCTCAACACTTCAAACGGGGGATTTTTCTCTTTGCATACAATATTTATATCCTTTATGTCAGTGGCTGGCTGCCATAAAACATTCATGGCACCTTTTCACACCTTAATTTCATGTGATATTCCTTTTGTTTTGTTTAGATTTGATTTTGAACATGATACGTCCCACCGTATTCTCTCAAGAGTATCAATTCATTGTTGCTTCAGAATATTCCGGTTTACATTGTAAGACGTGGCACCTGCTTGACATGTGACTGCATCACCTGGTGGGATCGCAATGTTTTTATAAACCTGCTGCTTTCAGAAGTCGCCTGTTGATTCTTTGTTCATTTTGGCAGTTTGTGATGATAAACGCCATGAGATAACACCAATTTGTCAAACGCCAGAGAAGAAACGGTCTACACAGAGGTAGCTTTCTTTTGATATCTCCAGTTGTTTCCTTGTGTTGACGTGCCTTTAAAGAGTAGTGCAGGGATGAAGCATTTGTGTAGGCTATCCTGAAAGTTGGCATCGTAAGTAATTGGATATTTGATTATAGCAGAAAAATAAGATCTGCGGCCAACGCATGTATGATACTTGCACGTTTTGTTTAGTACGATATTTTTTACATATTAACACCAGATGTATAATCTTAGAAGCCTAAATGTAATCTCTAGAAGTAAAAAGCTAACGTTATAATATAAACAAACAACATGACTTCATGTTAACATCGCTAAGCTAAAGGCAGCTAATGGTCGGCGTTTATTCAGTCTCTTGTTTTACAAACGTCATTTTTTGAGAAACTTTTAAAACATTCACATGTGGGATATTTTGGACGTATTTTCTATGTAGAAACATTTTTTAGAACCGATAACTTCATAAAGGAAAGCATCGACTTTGAAACGAGCTAACGAGAAGTGTGAATGCTAACTAAATGCTAACTTTAGGACTAATTCCTGCACCACTCTCTTGCACTTCAGCAGCCGCTCCACCCCCCCCTGTGTTTCTAAAGACTAATTCCTGCACCACTCTCTTGCAGAACAGCATCTCTCCCCCCCCCTAACTTGTTGGTGCTAATGAAGTCAGTATGCAGGGTTGTCTTCTGCTCTCTGTGATCTAATGGGGTGAACATGGTTGTCTAACTGGTTGACTCCCCCGACTCTGCCGTCCCCAGGGAGCCGAAAGAGCGAGGGAGGGAGGGCACTGACCCGAGACCAGCAGAGGGCTTGTGCGGGGGGGATAGAGAAGGGGGAGGTTGCATGTCCATCATTAGAGTCACTATTTGTTCCCGGCTTTGAGGGCACTGGAGTGGAACTAATACTGAACAGCAGAATGGACATGGAGAGGGAGGGCCACTTTTTACTGCTACATTAATTAAACTCATTCTCAACATGTTCCCCGTCTCCTCTCCTCCTGCTGGAGTTAAGTGGATCCAGGGCTGCTTTAACCTTTTCTGACGTTAAGCACTTCATCCCTCACTGATGAGAAGTGAGTACATTTACTCGAATACTGTGACTTAGTACAATTTTACGGTACGTATATTACTAGGGCTGGAACTAATGGTGATTTTCGTGGTTTAGCTATTATTTCTGAAGTCTTACTGTTCCGACATCAGTTTCTAAATCTATATCTGTTTTTTTAACCAACCAACCAACAGTCTCAAGTTCAATGATTTTGGATTAAACATGAACTAAAACTAATTCTCATAACAGAAAAGCTGGAACAAAAGAATGTGTGGTGCTTGCAGGACTTCATCAATAGTTAATGGATGTCAAAAATGTGTTATTGTTTCAGCGATAAACTACAATTATTTACTAGTTACTTTCGCAGATTTAGATGAAACATGAAATAAGCTCATGCAATACTATTTGATTATTTTTTTAGGGTTTTAGAAACAACTAGAACTAAAATCACACCAGTTTGTCTCAGTATAATTACATGATACTAATCAAAGTCAGGCTGATAACCCTCTTCTATCTTCAGTTTGAAAGATTTTCGGGTTTTAAGTGATGTGGCTCAATGTTATGAAAATAAAAATGAAGATAGTGTATGCACACCCAAATGATTTATCGTGTGTAAGGTGATGCACCCTAAACAATTATTGAGTGAAGCTCCAACCATGGCTGGATTAGCAACCAGGCAGAGCGGGCAGACCCTCGGGGGGCCCTTAGGTTCCTGTTTCACCTCGTGGCAATTATTTGTGGTGATTTCATTATTTTCAGATTTGTTAGTTAAAAGTCCTGAAAACACATTTTCCCTATCAACAGCTAACTAATGGTTGAGCTCAGGTTATGTCCTAAACTTCCACATACCAATCACTGTTAGACAACATTTGAATCAAAATTTGTTTTCTTATTTTTCAGCCCACTACAAAGCATATGCGATCAAACCGCAGACACACTGTCCCCGTAGAGCTAGAGTTTCTGAGCATTAACTTTGAAAAGACAATAACAAAATGCCTTTTTCAGAAATGTGATTGTTGCTTATTTAGTCATGAATATTTAATGGTATAGAGAA